AGTGTCACTGGGTGGGACCTTGGTTGTGCCTGTGCACTCCTTCATGTTTGCACAGCCACCCACACATACACGCAACCGCGCAAGCGCTCACACCAACCTGAAACACAATCACACGGGTGCACACAACCACACTACTTTCTCCCTTGCCTCCCTTCATCCCTCAACCTACTCGGCTTCTTCTCTCGTGCTGGTGTGCGCTGCTGTTGTGGGCGAAGATGGCTTGCGTGAGTTTTGGCGGCTGTTGGCAGGTTCACTTTCGTATGTGCGCAACCACACGACACATTTTGTTGTTGTTTAATTCGATGCCAGGTAAATGATTCAAATTGTGATGTCAGAGGCGATTGATGCAAGCTGCTCGTGAGCTGTTGCGGGCATTGCATGAAGCAGTGCTGTGTGTGTGCATGTCCTCACTCACAACCTCTCACCCGTATGTGTGTATGCGTGTGCGTGTGCATGTGTCCGCCGACAGGGAACATGACGTGCAGAGGAACATGGACAGATGGGATTTGAAGGCTTGGATTGAAGCAAGCCCAATCACCAACCCCAATGAGGCAGCCGCATCAGCAGCGACCAGAGACAACAGAAGACATCAACGATCAAGGTACAAAGGACACAAACGGCAATGGTTTGGGGGAATGCAACACACCATCCGCGAACACCACGACCAGTGGCACCACGACCATGACAGCGACAGCATGATGACAGCGACAGCATGATGACAGCGACCGACAACACCAACTGCACTGACTGCAAATATCACAGACAGAGAACACGAAAGGCGTCAATGGCCAAGCCATGGCCAGCAGGACATGTGTGCGAGTGTGTGTGTGTGTCCATCTGAAGGACACCTGATCACACACGTCCACGATCACCATCAACGCTGTCGACACGATCAACACCACTATCACCGCGGCCAGCAGCATCAGCGGCGGCGGTGGCAGCGGCGGTGGCGGCGGCGCGTCGGCGACTGGCACATGTGCACACGTGCGGTTTCGTGGGAACCAGGCGTGTTGGCTGAACGCGACCTCGAGCGCGGACGGGACGCGGTGATGGTGGATGCAGGACGTGCGGTGGGAGGAGTTCGTGGAGCGGACGCGGCGTGCGCTTTGGCTCGTCCTTCTTCTGAACTAGCTCAACACGTGGACCTTGCTTCAGCAAGTCCTGTTTCACCATGCCCGCACACATTTGCATGGTGTCACAGCCAAGGTGAGCGTGGCAACAGCAAGACCAGTGTGTGTGCGTTGGTGCGTGTATGTGTGTGTGTGTGTGTGTGTGTGTGTGTGTGTGTGTGTGTGTGTGTGTGTGTGTGTGTGTGTGTGTGTGTGTGGCTCGGAGGAATAACCTCACGGTTTGCGGCTGCGAGTGAGTTTCATCTCTGCCACCGCTACCTCTCACTGTCCCATGTGGCTCTGCATTCGCAGCCAGGGCATGTGTCACGCACCGCAAGCGGTATCGGCGCTACCATCAGTGTTGGCGTTGGCATCTGAGGTGGTGGTGGTGCGTCGTGCGTTGGCACCAACAGCGCCATGAGGCGGCGTGGTGCCCACAGCAGCGTCGTCACGACCGCTGCCACCAATTGCATGAGCAGCACGGCTGGCAACACCGCCACCTTCAGCGGATTCGCGCGCTGAATTCACACGCAGAGAGGTGAGAAGACGGGGCGTGCATATGTATGTGTGCGTGTGTATGTGTGTGTGTGTGTATGTGTGTGCACGTGGGCTGTGTGCGTGTGTGTGCACGTGCGTGTGCCACATGCGATGCGTCGTAAACATGATTGAGTTTCACGTATGCCCGCCCCATGTGCGCTCCACTTCCCCCTCTCCCCGTTTTCATGTGCCACGTGCAAGAACTCACGATTCGGGTGCGGTCCATCGTGCTCTTGTCCAGGCCACGTGCACTGCTGCAGTGTTGCGTGACCATGAGGGAAAGTGGGAATGGTTGAGTGGCAACGGTTTGGAAATGCACACCTGCAGCTCGCTTGACCTTCTCTCGCACGACAACATCGGCAGTCGTCACATTACCTTGGGATACTGCTGCGGGCCATGTTTGCGGCAGCGCTGCTTGTCACATCAGCTGCCGTCATCAATGTCACTTTGCTTCTCTGCATCAGGTGAGTGGGTATGAGCACATGCAAATGAATGGAAGTGACAGAAAAGCATTGTATGCGGGCGTGTGTTCTTGCTGGTGGCGACATGTGTTCCTTCACTTCACATCTCCCTCACGATGGTGCACTCGTGTGTGTGTGTGTGTGTGTGTGTGTGTGTGTGTGTGTGTGTGTGTGCGTGCGTGCGTGCGTGCGTGCGTGCGTGCGTGCGTGCGTGCATGTGTGTGTGTGCGTGTGTGTGTATGTGCGTTTTTCAACCACATTCACTGTGTGCAGGAAGGGAGCATGCCATGCATTCCGTATGAGGCAGCTTGCACATGGCATGCCATGCTGTACCTTGACTGGTGGGACGCGAGACATGACCCAGGTATGCGTTCAGACGAGAGCGAGAGCGAGAGAGAGAGAGAGAGAGAGAGAGAGAGAGAGAGAGAGAGAGAGAGAGAGAGAGTGTGTGTGTGTGTGTGTGTGTGTGTGTGTGTGTGTGTGTGTGTGTGTGTGTGTGTGTGTGTGTTCTGGCGTTGCTTTGTGTCTTTGCGCTGTTGCTGATGTGAGCGTTGGTTTTGACAATAGTAATTTAACCTCAAATCCACTCAACAATTATTTTCACTTCATGTCGTGCTCAAGCATTCATGCTGTCTGGTAACATCTTGCTGTCCCTTGGCACGAGCTCTGCTCGTGTCTTGCGCAACTGTCGTCATCCCCACTGCTGAGCTCACCAAGTTTCTGCACACGCACACACAAACACAGAGCCAAGGTTACCACCTTTGAAGCCATCGCCGACACCTGCCTTGTGAGTATCCATCAAGGGATTGACACATGTGTGTGTATGTATGTGTGTATGTACGTGTGTGTGCACTCACACACCTTGGCCCCATGCTTGCGAGCTGAATCGACACCATTGCACGATGTGATGACGTTGTGAAGGCGTGGTCACATCATGCGATACTGCAATTCTGTTGTTGTCAGTGTTACCACGCACATACACACACAGTGGTGACATAAGCACACGCACACACATAAATGCACACACACGCACACACTCATTCACTCTCACACATGCATACCTTCTCCACCTGTCTTCCCCTTCCCGGGACCACAGGCAACTGCTTACCCTTGCCATGCCGCCCCCTCGCCGTGTCTGCGCCATGTGCGGTCGCGAGATTGACGTCACAAGCAGCGGTGTGCATGTGAACCAGCCGCCAGTGGTGGAGGAGTGACAGGGTAACCTGCAGCAAT